TGCATACAAATAATAAACTTTAATTTTCAATTTTGCTTTGTTCAAATTTCGGTGGAAATCAGGGGATTTTTTGATTTTAAAGGCTTTTCAATTTCTAATGTTTCAAGGGTGGCAAAACTGCATAGTGTGCTAATACTACAAGTTTGGTTCAATAGTATCAAAGATCAATTGAAGAAGTTTTGATCAAATTGTGCTTTGAAATAGGTTGTTAATTTCCCGGTGATTTAAGGATTCTGTCACATTGTTCTTGATTTGGCGATTATCAGCTGATTATTTTACCCTTTTTTACCCCATATAAAAGATTTTGTGCTTTATTATAAAAGGAAGTGTCACTAGACTTTTTCATTTGTTATCTTATCTGTGATTTCTTTGTTATCAATTCAAAAGGTAATTATAAGCTCAATATGCCAGTTCAACCAGTTCCACATCGTCGTACTTCTGAAGAACTCATCAGCAAAGGAAGTAACAATTCCTCTGATTTCCTAGGTATTGAAGAACCACCAGCTCCATGTGAAACTCCAGAACCATCAAATTGGTTCCCATTGAAAAGAAGATCAAGTAGTAATTATAAAACTGCATTACTTGGTGATAAATTACAAAATGTTGGTTTTAGTGATTTAAATAAAACTCATGGTAAAGACTCAACATTTGAAGAAGATCCATTATCATCATCATCAATAACTACCTCCAAACCACAAAAAATTGATATTACAAATACATCAAATGATCCTCAACTTTATCAACCACAAGATGAAGGACAATGGTCTCCAGAAGGTATCAAAAGAAATTTACAACGTCGTTCTACAGGTATTGGTGAAGAATTATCACAAGTTAAAACTAATGACTCACAATCTTCAACAAGTAATGGTGGTGAATTTAATGTTCAATATAGAGGTTCAATTTCTTATCCACCTCAATCAACTCAAAAGGAAAATGCACCAAATTCAAAATTTCATAATATTCCAAGATCTTATCATTCAAATCAACAATCGCCAGCAGAACTCGATGAACATCATAAGAATGATTATTTCCCAAGAAGTTTTGAATATGCTGATTTCAAAAGAAGAATGTCAAGAGATTAAATGTTATTCATATGATGAGTTAAATCATTAGTTTGAGTTCACTTATTACATATACTCGCTTATCTCATAATCCAGAGTTTGCTTTAATTCAATTCTACATATACGCAATATCTACTATATTAATCCATTGATGGGTTATATGTTTACTTCATGTTATAACAAATATCAAAATTTAATAATATATTTAAAATGTCATCTAACTTTGTTGTAATACCATTACGAATCATGACCTGCACCTTCATGAGTCTTCAAAAAATGTAAAAAATAATTATGATACAATCCATTAAATGATTTACCAGTTTTTCTAGAATTTTCACCAAGACCTAGTTTAATCCATTTTTCACATTTTGGACATTTAACGAAAAAATTGGTAAATTTTCTATTTTTTGAAGTATATAATGATATAGGTGACTTAACTAATGATAAAGCTGAACCACCAGTTTTGGATTGATGTTCCTTATGGAAAGGTATAAGAACACCATGAGAAAATGCCATATGATGTTTAAATTTGGCTTTTGGAACCCAATTTTGTCCTCGACATAAACGACACATAACTTCAATTTTTTTAGAAAATTTTGATTTTCTTGAATAACGATAAGTTGAAAGATTCTTTATATGATCAAGGTTTTTAAAAGTTGATGATTCTCCTTCACTAGATTTTGGACAATTTGGATTTTTATGGTAATGATGAATTGGATCACATCCTTGTAATAAGTTTGCCTTGACTTTATGATGCTGAAACTTTCTTGGAAGCCATGTTTGATCAGGAATTAAATCAATATCTTTATAATAAGTAATTTCTCCATCAGTTTTATTTAAAACTTCTGGTCTAATACAAAGTGAATCTTCCCAATTTATATATGGTTTAGATTTAAAATCTGGTAATTGATCAAGAATTAATTTACCTGACCCAGTAGAGCTTGAATCTTCCTTGTCAATTTTTCCTTCACTTAAATTCCCAATATGTATTGATTTGGTGGAATTTAAATCTCTTGTTTTTCTTGCAGAATATAATGATATTTGTGATTGATTTTTTTTCATGTAGTTGTTCTCTTTATCATCAATATTTTGGTCATTTGTGAAATTTTCACTGTGTATTGGGTTCAGATGTAAATTGAACTTTTGTAATTTAGCTTCAAGATCACCATCTAAAACGTAACCATCTAAAAGTACACCCAGATCAACCTTCAGAGAGTTCAACCCTAGATCAGTATTATTACCTCCAACATCGACATCTAAATCATCAATTATTTGAATACCATCATAATCATAGTCAAGATCTATTGTTTTTCCTGAAACATCTGATGTATCAACCCAATTTTGAACTTCATCAATAGTACCTTGGAAAACATCATTTGATTGGAAATCAAGCCATTCTTCAACAAAATCAATATTACCCATTTCTATAATTTATTGAAACTCTATCCCTCTTTCAATTCACTCTAAAATAAAAACTTAGCCAAGATTAAAAGTATAATAATAGAACTGTGTAGCAACAGTAGCTTGAACTAATAAAGCAAATAGTATATGATATATTTAAATGAATGAACCTAGCAGTTTCCCAGCTTGTGTATAAACAATAGTGATATGACTTTAAAGACTATGAGCTCATAATTGAATATGAAAAGAGGAGATCATCATAACGTGAACATCATATTTTCACTTCTTTAGATAACGTCTCTTTTGTGTCAAAGAAAACCAAAGTTTAAGCTTATATTAAATTTTTGTGTACACAAAAACACTATCGTGGTCGCGAAATATGGATCTTGATTCTCGAATAACCTCGGACATTTGAGGAGATCTTACCAAAATGTTAGGCCAATGATCGGCTGCAGACCTAGTGATTAGGTTCTAGATTAAAATTTGCACATCCAGAGGACTAGTCTTCAGATGTCGGGTCTCGGGATTTTAACCACTGCAATGCAGCCGCCACTCGGTGTCTAAATTAAAATACGATTATGAAATTTGAAACTTTAATAAAGTGAAACAACAAATTAGTTGAACTTGATATAAGTACCGTCAAAGACTGGTAGGACTAATAAGTTATTACGCTCATACTTTCGGCTCTAGTTCTTTCTTCTACTGTGAACTTTGAAGTCGACCAGAAATTTTGAACTGCATCCCATAGTCAATGTGTTCTATATAACCTTTCACAAGGGCTTGTTTATATGGCCTTTCATCTATATAGAAGCAGCCATTAATTTGAACTCACAACATCTTAACTAGCTGTTGTATGCAGCATCATTTGATTTTCCTGGTCATTATAATATATAATATAGCTAGTCAAAGATGTAATTAGCCTGATCTATATAACGGGTTCATTTACATTATTCTTGAACTTATACTAAGTTAATATTTAAGCTTAGCTGGCTTTACCACAATTTAAACTCTAATAATAAACGGAGTACTTAAAAGTTATTAGTTATGGTACATCGGGACTTGGGAACTAGGTAGTAATAGGTAGTACGGTACGTCTATTCATGTGTCTAATATAGAGATCTAGGTAATGTAACCAGCTAGTAAGCCATGTTACATACATACAGTTATGCGACACTAGTGGAATTTATGATTTAGTTTAAACTATAACCTGAAGGTGAAATATACCGAAATGATATGAGGATAGGCTTTAGTAGGAGCAAGTATAATGAATATATTATGTATAGCGGTAAAGTCTGATACCAAAGTACATTTTAATAGAAGAACGACTCACTATATAGATTAAGTTTCTTAAATTTCCTTACCAGCGCGTGATTCTCCAAAGAGGGATTGCTGCTTTTAATTCCGCAATATTATCATATAATGTTATATATTACTATGAAGTTAGAAGTCACTCAAGTCACCTTCGGCTTAATTTTAAAGACTCAAGAACAGTGCTTGTACAATCTAAGTCCATATAGGCAGCTAGTGGGCACAGCTTCACGAATTGCAGAGTCCTGACATGGGTTCGGAATTTGCTGTGCATTTGAATTGAGGTTCATTCTGGAAATTTGATTGAAACTGAGCCTCTATAACTAACTTTTAGCTTTGTATAAATTTATGGTTCATAACTAGCAATAACGGTACCCGTATTGAATGTATGTATCCCTGATAAAATTGACTATAAGATTATTTGACTCAAAAGTTGCGTTCTAACTTCTTATACAAATTTGTTAAAATCTCTTATGATTCATGATCCAACTTCCTGATCATGATTCATATCTCGATTAGTACATAGAACCGATAATCCATGCTTTTACAGAACACACAATATGCGGTTTGTTTCAAACAGTTACACTTGATCAAACATTTGCGATGTACTATACGCTCGCACTTTAAGGTCAAGTATGTGTCCTAATGTGGTATGTAGTATGTACTGGAATTGAATCTTGTACAAACAACGTACTGGGCCGAGACTTGAGTCGTCGTGCTACGTAAGCCTCATGAATCATGATAGATTCGAATTATATGGAATCTGAATCTTCTCAACCTTAAATCTTATTACTTGAACTTGTTTCGAAATGATCAATGAAGAGGTTCCTTGAAGAGGGCGTAGAATTATTTATTTTTGAATCTTTTTGTCTCACCTTTAAACGTCATTCGATATTACTGAATATTGATGAGCTAGCTATGTTAATTAGCTTCAATATAATTTATTTAAGGCTAAGCGTTATAACTTATACCTACGATCACCAGCTAGCTTGGTGCCATTCTGCAGATATATAAGTATCTGCATATTGTTTGTGTCTAAAATGTTATCCAGCTTATGAGTTCTCGGGAATCAACATTCAAGTCTTTAGTAGCTAGAGTACCTGTAGTTCAAAAAGCTTCAACCGCGCCAAACTAAAATATAGTACCTTGAGTTATATCGTTATATCGTTATATCTATTTTCCCATTGGGACGTCAGGATATATTTGACCTCCAGAACATGGCCATGCTGGTAATTTTTCCTTAAAGTATATAATCATATGATAACTTAATATATTAATATGGTCGAGTCATGAACAATTAAAGCTTATATGTCTCGGTCTATAAAGCGTCTGACGTGTTATAGACTATAGTACCCATTTCTATGATTTTATCTTAGAGCTTAAGCTCATTTAATTATAAATGTATTCGTGATTCACTCCATATGAAACAACTGTGTGACTCTCTGCCTATATTTAATTAGTCTCGTCGACTCTGTATTATGAAAGTTAATACATTGCGGACCGTTTAAATAGTCAAATCGGCTTGCATAATTGCAGTATGTACACACAACAACTTACAACAACTAATCTTACAAGGCTTAAGAGTCAAGAGTGATGTATCCATATATTGACGGTTGATTGGTATTATAATCAACATTAGTATAGTACTTGAATCTCGATGAAGTTCTGAATTTTAATCCTGAAATACTTCGATAAGCTGGCTGTTCATGTGACATGTACGTACTCAAAATTATCTCACCTTCCACGACGTAGCTGCGTTTTTAAACCATTAATTTCACAGGGATTGCCGCTTATATCTGTATTCCAATGTGAGATGTTATGTCTCCTGCAGCCGGTGAGAAACAAGGATTTCTCAAGCTGCGACAAAATCAACAGGGCGTCTTCCGCCTAACAAGATTAATATTGAAGACTCTTTCCTCATTACTTACTCAACGTTTAATCATTAGTTGAGATTGCTAATTAAACGTACTATTATCCAATATTAAAAGCTACATTTGATAATACGATTAGTAGCACTTTCGTTATAGACGAAGTATCCTGATTCCTTTGTATATATTGAATTTGATCATGCCGAATATCACGATCCAAATGCTAACTTAATTCACCTATATACTACTAGACCCAACAAGATTGCACTAGCTACATACCTAACTTGCTTTGATCACTGATCTGTATACTTAACTTTCGACAAATAGCTATTAAGAAACAAAATATCACGAAGTATATAAATAGTTTTTGATAGAAGGCTACATATATATACGTATATATAAATATATATAAGTTAATATGGCTGGCGTTATGGTGCTATTAATCGATCGCAACAATATGCTACAATAATTTCGACATATATATATTGGATCGATTGTACCGCAGTGCGCACACTATAGCTATTATTTACTAATTGATCTAATTATATGCGATCGATCGAATATATATAGTATAGTTTATAACCCATGTTCAGCAAGTTGATATATATGATGTTATATAGATATATATATAGTGTATATGAAAATTAATGCGAAGTAATTAATATATTCATGATGCATGAGAGATCTCATGGCTAGGTCAGCACTGATATATATAAGTCAATTATAATTGAATTAAATCTAGTTAGCTGGATCCAAATATGATCAGTAATTTCGAACTCGGATATCACGATACTTGGTAT